TCAGACTTTTCTTTTTTCCCGTGATTTTCTTACTCCACGTGTTTATATCTCTAAAAAGGGGAATATAAAATTTCCTTTCCTTTAAAAAGACCATAATGCCCCTCTAATATATCATCTTTGATAACAAGTCCTAATCAAAATTTTTAAAATTAGTTATTGAACTTTTGAATTTATTCTACTAAAACCATTAAATTTTAATTTCTTACATTTTGGTCACTGACCCGATGTTTGGGTGTTACAGTATAAAACGCCAATTCATCGATGAACGTTCACGTTTCATATAGATTTGGTCATCGGAGAGATGTGAGGTCTAGTGGAGCTTCGTCGATGGCAAAGGGTGGTGGCCGATGTAGGTTTAAGGGTCAAAATGAAGGTTTTCAATGTTTTTTAGTTTTTTTCAAAAACTTTTATCTATTTTTAAATATATAATTTTAATTTTTTAATTTTAAATTTTCAAAATTTTCAGATTATAACACGTGTCACTTAACGGGAGAAATTAACACTGTTGACGGTCTGAACATCTAAAGTGATAACGCTTGCAATGTTAGATACCAGAATAAGTCAAAAATTACTTTAGACACCAATTGGAAAAAACAATATAGTTTGAGTACTTATTTTGATGTTAAGCTTTAATTTTTTTATTTGAACTTTAATTATTTTTATTAATTATAAAATTAATATATATAATTAAATATCTAACAATTAAATAAATCTAAATTAACTTTAATCTATAATTAACTCATTAATTAATTAATAATTATGATAAAATTATTTTTCTATATTAAACATTTTTTTATATAATTTAATTATAATTTCATTAAATAATAATAACTTTATCATCTCATAATTATGCTAAACTTCATTTAATTTATTAATTTATTAATTTTTAATTTAATAATAATTTAATAATTTTGATATCTATTTTAGATTCCATTAATTAATGAACTATAATATTAAATTAATATTTAAGTAAACTAAATAATAATGTATTAGTTCAATATTTCATTTTAGATTCTATTACCTAATGATTCAAAATTATTAAATTGGTTTTCAATTATTTTAAATCGAATTATGAAATATTAATTTCATATTTTACTTTAGAACTACTAAAATAATTTTTTTAAAACTATTAAATTAATTTATAAATTATTTTAATTTCTTTGTATATTAGAAAATAAAATTATTTAAATTTAATATAAAATAACATATTTTTGCACTACACAAATGATTTATTTTTACAATACAAAGATATCTATTTTTATTTATAATAAAATATTATCGATGATATAATAATATAATATATTTATAAATATATTTAAAATAATATTTATTCAAACACAAATAGTATATTATTATTACTTTTAAATTTAACAAAAATATTATATTTATAATTGAACATTAATCATCTAATTTAAAATTTAATTTATAATAAATTTATAATTAACTTTTTTATCTTTTTAACTAAATAGATTGTACCACAAATTTTTAGTCCGGTGCAATAAAAAAATTTCACATATATATCTTATAAGTTTAGTTTGAGTTAAACTATAATCCCTAAATGATAATTGAATTTAAATGAAATTGGACACAAATAATATGATTTAAAAAAAGAAACGTCTTTTTTTTTTTGTAAAAAGTATCAATAATTCTATATATACTTGATTTAACCCATACCTAACTTAACTTGAATTGACCCGAAGATCTAAAATTGACTTAAACCAAAAATAATTGATCAAATATTTACCTAATCCGATATTAACCCGAACCGAAAATCATCCGATTTGTTATTGACCCGATCCAATAACCGAACCGCCTCAACTCACTATAGACCCAAATAATACCGAAGCTTGAAATAACCCGATCTGACTCAAACCTAGCCCGACTTATTATAGATTCGAATAAAATTAAAACCAAAATAATCTGATCTAATCCGGATTAAGTCTAAACCTAAAATAATATGAATCAAAATAATCCGAACTAATAATGATTCGAATGACCGTTTAACTCCTAGTTTTCCGTACGGACAGACCATTCTTGAAGAGAGAGCTGGGTTTTTACCCTCGTACTAACTGGTGTTGTCTTCAAGACTCAATGACCCTCAACTTGCTTTCTTAATATTTAATTTTTTGTTGGATGGGGTAACTTTGATTGGAATCCGATACGACGGGAGCTTATCTACATATTCTATCTTATGTTTCAACATTTTATTTTAATTAAAAAATAATTAATTTTAACAATTATCAAAGATATAAGTGTTCGTTATTTGTACTTCGAGTTGGAATCTAATATATATCTATATACAAAATAAATAAGGGACCAACAATAACTAGTTAATTTAGTAGGATAAAAAATTAAATTTTTTAAATAACATTAGGGGTTTGAATCTTGAAAATTGTGAATGGAGTAAAATAGGTTTGAAAGGTCTGCCTCGCCTCTATAATATATGATCTGGATTAGTCGATCAAAAGATTAGATACCGATAGTTATCAAATAAATAAAGGAGGGTAGTTGTAGGTTTGGTAAGTAACAACAGCGATGGAAACGTGAAAATTTGAGTTGAGTTCAATTTTTTTTATAGAATTCGTAAATTGTAAACAGGGAAGAACCATAACTAAATATTAATAGGTGTCAAAATATTGGATTATTTTAAAACAAATATAAAGATTTATTAAATATTTAAACTCAAAATTCAGCATGAACTAAACAACCTTAGTGATTAAGATATTGTTGTTATCCTTGAAGTCTCGAGTTCGAGCACTGCTCATGTGGGGGTATGAGCATTCATTGTTAAATGTTGAGTCTTTGTACATATATTACCTTGTATTCACCCTAGATTTATATTTAAAAAAAAACTCAAAAGTCACAAGATAACACTTAATTTGTGTAATATTAAGACTTACAATTACCTAAATTGTTATTTGACCCAAAAATTTTGAGAACACGTGGTTATCGTTCTTTAGTTCGATCCTACTTAATTAAATATTTAATAAAATTTTATATTTTTTAATTTAAATATTTATTTTTACATAAATAAAAATACTATTAAACTAAAATTATATCAAATATATAAATTTAACAGGAGTTTGGCTCCTTTGGGACCTCACTAGGCTCCGCCCCTGTTTGTAACAATTCGATAATTTGAGATAAAATTTTATGCCAACTCTAAATTCTCCGTTACCTATGATGAATGCTTTTGGTTTTGGAATCGAATCTATATTTTTGAAAACTATAAATTAAAGTCTGATATTCTGCAAGAAGCTCACAATAGTTCCCTTATTATGTATCGTGGAACTGCCAAGATCTTTGGGAACAATATTGGTGGTTGGGATGAAGAAAACTATCACCCATTTTGTTTCCAAACGTCTGATTTGTCCATTGTTAAAAGTTAAACACCAATTTTTTTAACAGAGAACTATAACACTATCGAAATACCTTAATGAAAGTGGAAACAAATCATAACAGAGTTCGTTTTCAATTTACCTATGATCTTAAAAACGAATGATTTTGTTTGGGTGATAGTTGATCAATTAATCAAATCTGCATATTTCATTTCGGTTCGAACCAACCTCAATCATAAAAGATTAATCAAACTATACGTCTAAGAATTTATTAGAGTTCATGGTGTCCCAGTTTCCATCAACTCTTATCAAGATTCACGATTTACATATCGGTTTTGTAAATCCTAATAAGAAGCCATAAGAACTCGAGTTAATCTGAGTATTACGTACCACTCACAAACTAATGGACAATTTCAAATCGTTATTTAAGTGGATTCTTCGTGAATTGAATGACCAAATAATTCACATACCAGTTCTCATATTCTCAAATCATATTGACGCTAGAAGATATGCTTTGAGCACGTGATATTGACTTTAATGAAATTTAAAAGAATTAATCTCTATCTCTAAATTAAATTTGCATACAACAATAAATTTCATTCTAATATAAAAACCGACTTTATTCTAAACTTTGTATCTAAAATAAAAAGTGTCTTACACCGTTACTTGAAACTCATAGGGATTTACACACGTATCACTAACAATAGACTTTAGCAACACATATCACTAAAATAGAGATTTTGTATATATACATATATTTATTTACTGATATCTTAGTCCTTTTAGGTTTTAGAATCTTAAATTAGGCTTATTGAAAGAGTATACATCTTACCGACGCAACTGCTCGAATTTAAAACTTTTAGGGAAAATAATATTTTATTAATCGGTGAGGTTACTTAATAAATTCTATAATAAATCATTTTAAATAATAAAATTTGTTTATATTAACTGTTTATATAATAATTGGATTTAAGATAAACCTTTTTGTACTTGGTTATAGTTTGTTATTATATTGCATATTAATTAGATAACTGAAAACGAATAAAACAATGGATGAGAGAAATTTTATTTATGAAACTGATCATAAAACATAATTTGAGAGATTTTGACTTTAGATATATTATATTTGGTAATATATTGAAATTTAAAATGTGTATTAATTATTTGATTCATATATGGATATTAGGACAGTTATATCCTATATAATTTAGATATTCTTTCTATGTTTTATATTAATTATCTAATTTTATAGCTTTAAATTTTCAATATTATTTTTAAAGATTTGTATCTCTAACGTAATATCATTCGTCCATACATATTTGGTTAACCCGAATAATTACCTAAAAGAAAAGATAGAAATATTAAGATGAAACCAATATAAAATTAAACACAATAGGAAAGATGTAGATACTCATTCCTTGTACACACATAAAATTACAAATACGGGTAGAAGCAAGACCATGTTTTTAATACATTAACTACCAACGACATTAGTCAATACTATATAACTTATGTTCTTATTATTAGCCAAACCAAAGCTTCCACCATAGCTATTCAAAACAGAATAAAGATTGAAACCTACACACATTAAACTTTAACCTTTATTTAGCACTGGTTATATAGAAATTTCACGCATGAGTAATAGCTTTTAAATCGGTGGTTTCAAGGGGAAGGGTTGGGAAACGTTGGCGGAGCGGGGAATATCGGGAAAGAGCCGGGAAAGCCAGGAGCTGAAGGAGGAACATTTGAAATGCCCGGAAATGGCGGCAACCTATACTCCGGGTAAGGTCCGTTGAAAGGAGGGAATGGGAAGCCACGGAACGGTCCCGGAGGCACATTTGGAAATACTGGTGGCGCTGTGGTGGTTACCGCCTGCAAAAGACGGCGAGCCTGAGCTACATCCATGGCCGAAAACGACATCGACAGTGCAATGAAAATAGCTAAAATAAGGAGACGATGAGAATTAGCCATTTTACAAGCAAAGATTGTGTAGATAAGGACATGGAATGGAAATGGTGTTTGTTTTATAGAGTTGGAAAAGTGGGGTTTAATGCAAGAAGTTGGCCTCCGGTTTTGGTGAGATTGGTTTCCATTAGTAGCCTGTAATTCTTCAACAGAAGTGGAGTTGGAACGGAGGCTAAGTACAGCTTTTAATGGCTTGAAATGTTGTTGTATTTACTGCTGTTTTCTTAAGGCTAGCTCTGTAGATTCATCCCCAGGTCGCAAATTACATGGCATTATTAACTGTAGATAGGAAACTGTTACCTCTACTTCTACTTTTGCATTAATATCTTACAAATTGTTGTTGTCTGTCATTGTCAAAATTAGAGGTGTACATTCTATTAAATTGAGTAAAAAAAATTATTCCACTTTACTAATCTTATTTTGTAACTAAATTTTTATTTAAAGAATTTTCAAATCGGGCTGAGTTTATGAAAGTTTTTTCGAGTTGAGTTATTCGAATTTCTATTTTAATTTAATTGAAAAAAATTATAATGTTACGATACTATTTGATTTTAATTTCAACGATTTCCCATACCTGTATTCAATATATATATATATATATATATATATATATATATATATATATATATATATATATATATATATATATATATATATATATATATTCCTTTATATTGTTTTCAAATGTGATTTGTATATATCATGTACAGTTGAGAGACTCTACTTAAATTTAAAAATCAATCAACTAATTATTAAAAATGTTGAGTTATATTTTATGTCACGATTTAAATTTATTTTTTTTCCAAATCAAATCGAATCTATAAAATTACGAGTTGAATCGATTTTGTACCCCTAGTCAAAATATCGGGCATAGCTCTTCTTGTTATTTTTTGATTCATTGCTTCTTTAATATTGCCCACAGTTAAAAGTGGATTGCTTTTTTAATATAAGGTAAATTATACAAATGTTCACTGATATTTGATTAAATTTTGTTTCTCCAACTGAAATTTTAAAAATAACAAACTGATTACTGACGTTATCAATTTGTAACAAATTAATCACTTAAATGTTAACCGTCATTACTGAAGTAACAAAATACTGATGTGACACATTAGTTGACTTTTTTGACACTATATAGCCACGGGAGACCATTTTGACCGCCTCTCACGCCTTCTCCCCCTCTTCTTCTTCACCTCACAATTTATTTTCTTTCTACGACCACATCCTTCTCAAATTCTTAAAGTTTTCTCCTTTTTTTTCTTCATCTCCTTTAATTAGAATCTCAGGTGCACAACTTCCAACATCAAATGTGAACAAACTTAATCTGAGTGTTGGTGCATTGCACATGAATGAGAAGATTCATGATATGATTTTTCGTTTTCTACTATTTGAGATATAGATGATATAGTTGAATGGTAAACAACTACAAAAGTAATTTTTCAGCTCTTAGATGATGAGAGTAAACGAATAAAAGCTTTGAAAAGCGTACCGTCTTCCATCCATCGGGATCTAAGCATGGCATGACCTTGGTATTAACTCCAAGGTCCGGGTTCCCGAATAATTTTTCCGTCAAAAAGTTTAATAGCCTATGCAGTTTTGTAAACATCATATGTGTCAATCGCAATCCGAAAAGATGCAAGTTGTTCCCATTTGTAAGAAATTATTGTTCAAAATAACAAAGCATGATCATGATGCATATATATAGCACATGCAGTTCCCCTTTGCAAACAAAAGAAGAAAATCTTTTCAACATTGAAGGGAAAAGAAAAGAGGAAACATTACTACGTGAGTAGCCATTTCCTTTCTCATAATCAGTGGCTCCGTAGTTATCTTCATGTCTATAGCCCATCACGGCTATTATGTAATAAGCATATGTGAGCGCATATATCTAAATCACTAAAAACTCTTAAGTAAGCTAATCCCTTTCTTGTAGGCTTTTGGTATGAAGCCTCTTCGCACACAAGATAATTCAGGGTACAAGGTAAATAATATTGTCTTGATGCAGAATCCCTCACTTTCTCCTACTCTGCTTCTTCACCTCACCATTTTTTTTCGTTCTCCAAGCCCATCAGTCTCAAATTCTTAAAGTTTCCTCATTGTTTTCTTCATCTCCTCTAATTAGAAGCTCAACTACACAACTTCCAACATCACAGGTAAGCATACTTGCTTTGAATGCAAGTCCATGTGAGACAGCGAACTATAAAGTGAGGTGGTATTACTGTAATGCATTTGTTGAGGATCTTAAGTAGCATCAGATATAATCGGCAAAGGTTCTGCAACAACTCTCACATTCTCATAAATTTTTTTGGAACGATCCATATCACTAACTCTGAGTATTACTTGGAAAAAGGGTTGAGCAGGTCACATTTCAATTAGCTCAAACTTGTAACAATCAATATCCTCAACAAAGGCATTACAGTAATACCACCTTTCACTTTATAGTTCGGTGTCTCACATGGACTTTATAACACCCCAATTTAGGGGCTAAATTTTAAGAAATTATAAAGTATTTGATTTAATTTGGTATTTTGTAAGAAACAGAGGATTAAATTGTAAAGTTCTAAAGTTGGCAGACCATTTTATAAAGTGCAGGAAATTCAGTGGCTAAACTCATAGTTTAACCATTTTTCTTTTGGAGATATTATAAACCCATTCCCCGTGTGTTATGCAGATTATTTTCCAGTTTTTCTTCCCCGTTCATCCTACTTCGATCTCGGATTTACTCGCCGTCCAACCTTCAAACGACGAGCCGAAACCACCATCGTGTTCGTTGTCAACCGAGGAACAAAACCCCTCAAATCTTTCGTCGTGAATCATCTTCGTTCGTCGTTAATTTCAGTCGGAAGTATCGTCAGTAATAACTCGGTTTAGTTGCTTTTTCATGGATTCACGACGATCGGGTCATCCGTTTACGACACCTCCCGCACCATCGTGTTCGTTGCATCGTTCCGAGTTCGCCGGTGTCATCCTTGGTCTCCGTCGACTTCGGCGCGTAAGGAGGTGAAGCGGTCAAAGTTTCCGATTTGTTGAAATCGAGCTCTCCGCCGTTCAAAATTGTGAACCGAGCTTTGTAAGTATCTCGAAATCGCTCAAAATAATTTTTAGAAATTTTTCCGGGATTTTAGCACTGTTCACGCGCCGCCACTGCGCGTGGGGAAGGAAAAAGTGACCGGTTTGACCGGTCACAACCCGACCCGACCCGTTTACCCGACCCGTTGACTCGACCTGTTGACTGGCGTTGACCACTGTTGACAAAAACTTTGACTGGCTTTGACCGAGCATTAAACGACCTTTGTTTTTGACCGAGTATAGTTATCCTGACAATTTTCGACGTTCCAAATCCGATTCCGCAGTCCGTTTCTCGAAATTCGGACCCGAAGGCCTCGAAATTTGCAGTCAAACCCGTTGACTTTGATTTTGACCGAAAATTCCAAATTTTTGAAAAGTCATATGTTATGCTTTCGACGTCCTGAATCCGAATCCGAAGTCTTGTTTCACCAAATTCGAACCCGATAAGCCGTCTTTCACTGATTTATCACCCGATTCGATCCGTTTATCGCAATTATGCTCCGTTTCTGATATAATTTATATTGATATGTATCTGAGGAATTATTGGAAGTTGAATTGAAGATCAAAGGCGTTCGAATGGAATTTTTATGGTCGATCAGTATTGCACAGAAATCGAGGTAATACTTTACTACCTCTTTATGCTTTATGGAACATGTTGATATTGGTAAATGCATGAATAAGATAATGTTGGTCACTTTTGTGGAGTTGAATAATTTATTCACTCGATATGAATGTGGTAGAAATTATGTAATTGAATACGGATCGAATGACTAATATAAGAGATTGAAAGATTGTTAGAATTAAATTACAAGTTTGTGAATAGTGATAAAGAAATCAGACATGGATTTGTAAATTATATTTTATATCATCAAAGGTTAAATGTTAAAGGTACTTGGATGGGAAATTATGAGAATACTTCGGTATGGTAAAAATACGAAATTACCCTTATATTGGAAAATGATAAGAATTGTCCCTAGAAGTGGATTAATAAATCTGAAAATACATATTGATACGATAAATATATTGATGTGCATAAGAAATGATAGTTATACTTAGAAATTATGGATAACCGATTTTTAACCCCAAGAGGGTTTATGCAAGATACTAGAAGTGTGTTAAGGGAATTATTTCAAGATCAGAGAGTGTTCAAGAAAGCAATTAATCATAGGATCTATAAATTATATTATTTTCGTTAAGAGAAAATATCGAACTTATCTGGTTAAGAAATTACGGAAATGCCCTTAAGAGGTAGAATAGTCTGAGATGACTCTGAATGAGAAAATACTTAGAGGATTCATACTTAACTAGATTAAGTACGGATTTAATTGTTAAGATCCCGACTTAGTGCAGGAAAATTCCTGATATTCCGTTTGTAAAGTCTGAGAAGACACTTGACCTGAAAATATTCGAATAATGAGTAAATACTTGAAGAGTAATTTATTGGGGGTATTCTGCTGTCAGAATTGTTTGAAAGGACTGAAGTAAATGATAAGATTGAATTAAAAAATAAGATCGGATGGAAGGGAAAGATTGAAATACCGTAGATCTGTAAAATGACCAAAATACCCCTGTAATGGAAATGACCCAAGAATATCACCAAGCTCAGAAATGATTGGATATCCTCGAGCTCTGAAATGAATGGAATAAAACTGAATACCAAAATTTACAAAATAACCTTATAGTCTAAACTAAGTAGATTTCTTGGATTAATTAAGGAATCCAAGTAAGCATAGGTATTGGACTACCTTTAAAGGTAATGGAGAACAATTTAAGTGAGTAGATCAACCCTAAAACTATGTCAATACCTGAATGGCATAGATATTACTGGAACATGTGTTCGTCTTCTCAAGTTTGGCTCGATGATAAATTTTGGAAGTATTCAGCTCAGCCCAGCTCTAGATTGTATTCAGTACTAAGAATTGGACGTTTGTTCGACA